TTTTTTTTTTTTTTTTTTTTTTTTTTTTTTTTTTTTTTTTTTTTTTTTTTTTTTTTTTTTTAAAGATAACTTTGATTTATTATTTTGGTTACAAGTTGGAACCATAGTTTGACAGAACTATGGCCGAAGGCCTATGTTTACATGTTAGATTAGAATAAGAAGTTCCTATATTTACAAATTGGTGGTTCCCCCTTTTTTATTCCCGAAAGATAAGCTAATAAGTGGTTAAAATATAACTTGAAGATCCTCGGTCTTCTGAATGATTAAGTGTCTGCGTTATCCTCCTATATGCGGTAAGCAGTGACGGAATTTGCGTCTCCAGGTAATGCAAATTTTAGCGAATGTATGGAGAGGTTATCATCAAGTATATCCTGCATTAGTTAGCATCTCAATTTTATCAAACCAATGAAGTAGTAGTATAGATACATACCTTCTGCACAGGTCAATATGAAAGACCTTGATTTGAAGAATTTTATCCGAACACAGGCTTTGATGATTCAATCAACTTCTGACCCAGAATCAAAGAGACTTGATAAAAATCAAATTAAAGCTAAAGCTTGAAGTTAAGTATCTTTGATTTTGTGACATTGAGTTGATTTCATTGAAGCGGTTCCATTTCAGTGAAGCGTAGCTTCTTTAAGTAGACACATAACCAAGACTGGCGGGTGAATGCGTTAACCAGTTTTCCAATATAAAGCACCACAAGTCTATGAAAACATACAGGCTTTAGGCACCAGTTGCACGATACACTGAGAAAACACACATCAACTCCGGAGGAGGTAGGCTGCCTGGCTGCTAGCAAAATTTTAGTAGAAAGTGGAAACGCAGATTCATTCCCACCGATTGAGATCCCAGACACACATCATCGTATTGAGGGAAAGGATGATTTTCTGGTGAAAAGTTGCTGAATCTTATTAACGAGAAATAGTATCTAGGACTCACTATAGTGGGATATCATCAATTATTCATGAACAATTACTTGAAAAGATCACTAGATCAAGGCCGCTGGGAAGAAATGGCAGGTTGATCTGGGTACTTACTGTGGCAACTAAATTTATCAAGGGTGCAAGAATCATAAAAGGATCATATAGAAATGGATCCAGTTATCTTCGGCTTTGATAAAATAGAAACACGCATCGATTAATCTATCTTATTCATAATGTTAAAATTTAAAATATTTGAAGTCATAATACCAGAAATATAACCTGAAATTTAGCTTCTGGAGTCGGCGCTCACCATCCATTGCGCGGTTCTACAAGTTATTTTCAAATTCAAATGTATTTGAAGAATTGAAGGACCCGCTCCTTCCTTCGATTATTTCTCCTTTCGACGTCTACGTAAGTCTACGAAAGTACCAAAAGTTCCATCTTCGGCGTCTACAGATTTAAATTTTACCTAGTTTAATGGGTTTTATGCTACCATTACTTCCACAGCCGTGCCCCCAGGTCGCCTCTTGAAAATACTAAAAAATGAACTATTTACCGTTATTTCTCCCTTATGTCTCATTTATGTCAAAATTCCAAAAATATGTATGAGCTTTATGAATAGAAGTTTCAAAATATCTACAGTTTTATAGGGTTTTTTTCTACGGTTATAGCTGTAGGTTTGTCTAAATAACACGCCCGCCTTCCGCGGCTGGGCGTTTCGCGGGCCTCGAATCTGCTCATCTGCTCAGCGATTGGTCAATCCATCATCGTCATGTTTTGGGGTCCAGAATTTGTCGTTAAAGCTAAATAACTTTTTTAATATTTAACTAAACTTAAAAAGGGTGGGCATTACGAGTAGAGCTGAGCATACTCTACCCAAATATTATAGGGTTTTTGGGGTTTACTCTCCGACTTAATTAGTAGAAGAGCTTAATGGACCGCAAACCGTGCAGAAAAGCCCGGTCGCGTTGTTTCTTGTAAAACTAGTTAGGCAGCAGCCACCCGTCTTTTTTTTTTTTTTTGTCGTCATTTTTTAGGGGGAGTTTTTTAGGATTGGGCCAGGGTGGCTACCGCCACCTAGAATTAGCATACATGAACTCAGCGACCCAAAAAGTCCCTTTTAACTCATGTTGCGAGGGTAAATCATACATATCTGATTCAATAGTGTTTAAATCGGGCTATGGGACGATGGTGCGTCGCCTCGGGTTTCCCTGGACGGACCGGCCACCCAAACGGTCAAAGAGGGCACTGTTCTTTACTCGTTCACGATATGTCAAAACGGACGAAATTTTCGCCCTTTGGAGCGACAATTTGACAAAATCAGTAAGGAAACACCGGTAAATAACTTGCGGGAGGCAAGACGGTAAAAACTCATGAGATTTAAAATTCTTCAATGTGGGTGGAACTTGGCCTCCATTGTTGTCAGAGCAAAAAAGGCACCTACCCACAACCCATCATCCCCAGTTTTCATTCAAGATAGGGTACACTCGGTTGGTTCAGCACTCCCAAACATCATTTCAAGGTACAAGAATCCTCTTGTATAAAAACATGATTGGTTGCCTCGATACTTGTACCTAAAAATTGACTTTAATTCCTTAGGGAGAAATGCATTACAAGAGAAAAAGAAATCAGGTCTGGTGTTTTAACAAAAAATATATCCAAAATAAGATTCGCCTATGACTGACCAGGCACCACTAGGCATACTGAGCTGTTGTTGATTTCATGATGATTTAGTTATGTCAGGAAGAAGTAGGCAATGAAAGCGTGAAAGCAAATGAAGCAATGAAATGAAAATCATATTGAACTTACAAAGTCCTCGATTTCTTGAATCTTGTCAGAGATGTCATCAACTGAGACTTTATCATCTTCCACCACTGACGCTATCTGTAGCTTGTGAATTCCATAAGCCAAAGGAACAAGTTTTGCTGAAGAGAAGAAAGACCTCAGTGTACAGAACATACTAATCATGATCAAGATATTAAATTTTTGAAATAAGATATTGCTTGCATTTTCGTCAAATACTGGTGAGCCAGGTATCAACAAGCTTTTAACTTAGAATTAGTACAATATCTTTCTGCATCCTCTTCGAACTGCTTATGCATATGATTGTTCGTGTAGTTTATTCCTCCCAATACGTATACAGGGTGTCTCACAGAAAAGGAGCCACCTGGAATATCTGGCGAACGGGTTGGAATTTCGAAAAACGGTAAAAGACGTGTTCGTTTATATCATGGGGGACACCTTGTGACGTATTTTAAATTTTCCCAAACTGCGGGAGGGGCGCGGGGTACCCCTCCCGGAAATCGAGCTTTTCAAATGGCACTCCCATTTTTTTACTTCAGAAATCGATTCTACGCAAAAAAAACTAGCCACCCTGTCCAAACCGGATGTAAATCGGACAATTTTTCAGCGATTGGCAGAGGTTGAAACATTTTTCTAATGCTCTTTTCAAAATATCCCCACGCCGAATAGGATTGCTGTATCAAACCAAACTCTCCGCCAAAAAAACTCGCAAGCAGTGGCCTTTCGATGAAAAAAAAAAAAATCTGCTGTACTCAAAAACTAGAGCACGCGGAGCCCTTTTCTTTGACATTAAGATGCGATTCACCGAACATTTCCGAGGGGCACTCATCGGGAGGGAGTGCTAAGTTTTGGACACGAATCACCATTCTTTTTTCTGAAGCATGAGAAACCAAAGCCATGGAGAAACAGCTAAACAGAAAAATAAATAGATTACCTTTTTTCAGGTACGTGTCAATGATTTGAGCCGTACCTGATGTTTTTATAAATGTTTAAAATCGGTTGTTACTCATCAGAACTTTAATTTTCAAGAGAGGAGAAGTTTAAACTTTCCGTTAATCTTCAACAGTCATTCAAAACCAACTCCCGAAAATTGCCACGCACCGCGGGGAATAGCGTTCTTCAAAACATCAAGGTCCGGCTAAAATCATTGAAACCCACCTGAGAGAAGGTAATCCATTTATTTTTCTATTCAGCTGTTTCTCCATGGCTTTGGTTTCTTATGCTACAGAAAAAAGAATGCTGATTCATGTCCAAAACTTAGTACTCCTTCTCGATGAGCCCCCCTCGGAAATGTTCGGTATGTCCCATTCGGCGTGGGGATATTTTGAAAAGAGCATTAGAAAAATGTTTCAACCTCTGCCAATCGCTGAAAAATTGTCCGATTTACATCCGGTTTGGACAGGGTGGCTTGTTTTTTTGCGTAGAATTGATTTCTGAAGTAAAAATATGGGAGTCCCATTTGAAAAGCTCGATTTCCGGGAGGGGTACCCCGCGCCCCTCCCGCAGTTAGGGAAAATTTAAAATATGTCAAAAGGTGTCCCCATGATATAAACGAACACGTCTTTTACCGTTTTTCTAAATTCCAACCCGTTCACCAGATAGGTATTTCAGGTGGCTCATTTCTCGTGAGACACCCTGTTCTTAGGGTGATATCAGATCCATGATTGCAGCATCTTTATCAGTATTGGAGACTTTGGGATTGATGCTATTTTGAATTTATTTGGCATCTTTCTTATAGGAACCTAGCTCAACATATTGTAAATAATTGAACCTACAGTTGTCTACTGGATTAAGTGCGCCTGATCATGCACCTTCATTTCTTACCTTCATATCAAAACCATGAATGACTCTGTGCATAATGACAACCCAAACATGCGCTCATGTACAATTGGAGATAGTGGTTCCATTGAAACTATTTGCGCCTCTGATATGGAGTTTGAACTTAAGAGTAAGACCTAAAACATGGCAGTCCTGTAACCAGGCTAACTTCGAAAATTGATCCCAGAGCTTCAAATTGGTTTTCGTATTTTAAGGCCAACCATAATTTACGTAAGGCACTTTTTCCCATTTATAGCCCCCCCCCCCCCCCCNCTCGCCATAAGGCATTGTAAGGCATCCCTTAACCCACTTTGGAAAATGTCGTCAGGCTCAACTTACCTCCTCCCTTTTTTTTCCAATTATCACAGATTTAAGTATTACGTTTTCTTTTAGAAAAACAATGAAATTTTTAGGCCAAAATTTGTTTTAGTAAAACTAAATTTTTGAAGTACGTACATAAGAAATATTAATGAAACAATTTTCAATAAACAAAAATACAGGGAGCAAAATAGAAGATTTTTTTTGTCTTCCGAATAGTTAAAAGTATAAAGCTGACGTAAGGATGAAGTCACTGCTCATCATCCTATGGAATGGAGAAGTGGGAATTAAGAGAAACGACAGAAGCACGGTCCGGGGCCATTTCCACAGCCCCCCCCCCACATTCGAATCTTAAATAAAAAAATATATATTAATTTTGTGCTAATTTTGTGCTATTTTGTGCCGCAAATTAAAAATTTTGAACCTATGAACTCGTTTCCATTTGCCAAATTGCCAAGCTTAAAACTGGATTAAATATCGATGGTGTAAGTCGGCAATCACTTAACTCGGTTTGCAACGTCCTGACATTCTTTACTTTTTAAACAGAATACCACTCAATGGCAATTATTTAAAGCTGCCGTGATTTTTCTTCTCTGTGCGAAGAAAATTCGGCATGAACTTCAAGAAATGATGTCACTGTGCTCTCCTTTAAAAAAATAACATAGGGACGGAGATTTTCAGTTACCGCAGACGAGATATGTGATTGCAGACTTACGCCGATGATATATCTATATTAAAAGCTTATGGGAGTAAAACACTTTGATACATGGAAAGAAAAATGTTACAGGACTTTCAAGTTGCATCCCAGGACGATGATGACACATCATGAAGATCTAGAGCACTAAATCCAAGTCTTTCTGATCGGTTGCAGGAGAGTGTATTCGTCTGCCAAGCTAGACTTGAGCTTTAATTTATCATTACTGATAGATTGTTAGAGGAGGACACAATGAAATAGTAAATATAAGAACCTTAATGGGACATCAATGCGGCCTCTCAGAACAATTATTAATCATTTTACAGCTTTGCAACACCATGTACGAGTCCTGCTGATCAGCCATTTTTGGATGGATTCTATGTAGGCCAGGCACCACAGCTCCATACGGGGGGTAATATTGAATTAAATGCTGGAAAGCTGGAAATTTTTTTAAAAGACGTATTATGAGGTCCTTAAATAAGGGTTAATTTTGCACCATTCCTGAAGTGGAGCTTTAGCCGCCATCTTGGATTTTTAGGCCTAAAATCGCTATTTTTTCGGTTTTTGGCCTTTAAGTCAGTGAAAAAGTCATTTTTTCGTCAAAATACCTCAGTGCTAAAATCAAGCCTGTAAAATTTCCTATTAAAAAGGTGGTATACGTTTTTTCCATACGACCCACCGTTTTCGAGTTATGATCATCGCAAAGTTGGGCTCTTAAACTCAAAATCGACCAAAGCCCGACTTCCAAGTTTCCAGTGCGCTACAACTTAACAAAAACCGAGGAAAGATAGGAAAACTCATTCTGAAACTAAAATCTGTGATTTCTCAAAAATTAATCCCAAAATCCAAATGCGGGGGGGGGGGGGCGGCACGGTGACCGAATGTGTGGGCCGCGCGCGCACTGTTTTTACACACCGTGTCGTATCGTGCTGTATTATCAGCTACTAAGTGTCGAATGGCAATCATTTTTATTGGTTTAGAGACTCCCGGTCTGATCCAAAGATTAATTGTCATAAGACTCGTGAAGTTGGTATGGCGCAAATGAGAGCGCTAGAGAGCACTTCTGGTGAAATCAAATTTAAAAGGAGCAACCGGGTGTTATGTACCTATTTCTGCAACAGACTGCAGCGTTAAATTAAATAATGAAGTGATACCCATTAATCCTACATTTCTTTTTCAAAAGATTTCTTTCCTTAAAAAATCATAGACAAAAAATTTGAGGATATTTTCAATTCGAATTGATTCCTTTTCCATTAGCTCCTTTTGACGAATCCGAATTGCGGAAAATGTCCAACCTAGTGATTTAGGTATGACTTTCTTTTCAACTTGTGAAACTGCAGTCAAATTGAAAGGTTCTGTCCGTGTGATTGATGGAGGATTTATGGTTCACATAATTGTCTGGCATCGGCAAGAAATATTCTCCCAAATACTTGATAAACATGTTGAGTATGTACAGAAAAATTATTCCTCTAACACGTCAGTAGTGTTTGTCGGATATCCGGAGGACAGGGCAGCAAAGAGGACCAAAACAGCGGAACGCTGTCGGAGATCAAAATCATTATTATCTCCAGAAATTATTTTTGAAGAGAACATGTCAGTGACTGTCACACTAAGTAAATTCCTCGCGAACGAGAAAAATAAAAGTCGACTGTTAGCTTTACTAAGAGAGAGGTTTGAGAGTGCAGGTATTAAAACTAAACAAGCAAAGGAGGATGCTGACGTGCTCATTGTAAATCGAGTGCTCTGAAAATTCCCCATCAGTCATAATTGTAAGTGAAGACTCTGATCTCTTACTTATCCTTACAGCTTCGAGCAACTCTAAGAAAAACATTTATTTTCTGAAGCCAGGTAAAGGTAAAGTTCCAAATAAAACTTACTCGCTGAACCAGAATCTAACTTTAGCAGATAATGTTTCATTTACACGCATTCACCGGTTGTGATACCACATCTGCAATTTTTAGGCAAGGAAAACATAAGCTCTTCAAATTGTTACAAAAAGATGAGAGCTTAAAAGTAGCGGCTCAAATTTTCAAAGAACCAAATGCTTCATCAGAGGCAGTAGCTAGTGCAGGGGAAAAATTGTTTCTTTCCCTCTACGGTGCTCGAGGTGATGTATCATTGAATCAATTTAGGTACCATAGTGCTTCACACAAGCGATAAGCAAAAGTGCACCAAATTTAGCTTCCTTGCCCCCTTCTTCAGATTCAGCATGTTTGCATTCATTTAGAGTCTAATTACAAATGCAGATGTGGTATATGGTCACGAAATATCTCTATTACAGTAAGGGGTAGA